ACTACAACGCTAAAGACAGATCCGTGGCCAAAGAAACCGTGCATGGGACCTCGTCCGAGAAAAATTGGGACCCGTGTGGACCCGGATGGGACCCGGTGGGACTCTGGATAAATGGCCAAGCGTGAGAATTGTAACAGTGTCCACTGGTAGCTCAGCAATCTTCCGTCCAGGTTGCGAGTCCGAAACTGGGGTTGAAAAAGTGAAGAGAAATGGTTCAACGCACAGGCCCTTGTTCTGAGCCCGTGCACAGAGAAACACACGGACGACGATACGAGCTTTGAAGCGCAGCCAAGAGGCTTAAAACCTTAAGACCTAAGCAAAACTAGAAGCTTAAAAGCATGGCAACTGAGAGATGGTGATGGAGTGGAGGAGAAGACGGACATGGCACGACGACACTTGTGCGTCCGTTTTGAATGTTCGAAGGCCGAAAGTGCGCAATTTGTGTGTCTTGTGAGAAAAAATTTGCCAATTCTTTTCCGATTCTTTCTATGTTAACACTGCTTGTTCGACGCTTTGCGGATGGCTTCAACTCTTGAACAGTGCGCGAAATTTCGTACATGGTGCATTTTGTTGAAGAACATATGGCTGTAAGTGCTGCATGTGTGAATTGGATCATCTAAGTTGCTGTTGCAGTTGCATGCAGTTGCTGCACATGATGTTTTCCAGTTTATCGGATTCGGACTCTGTGGCGACACTGTCGACACATTGCTGCTGCAACCTCTTAACTTTCAACCATTTTGTTTTGCAAACAGCTTTCTGTCACTTCTCAACCAATTCATCCACAGTCTGCTGATTTTTCAGCGTTCGGGTCTTTACACTTTCTATTTGTGCTGTCTTTTTTTTGGTTTTTGGGAGGATTTGGAGCCGCAGGGCATTGAGCAAGCAGGTTATAGACTGTGGAGTGGAATACACGCGTGCCCTGGAGCCACCTAGTACCAATGTGGAGCATCCTAAACATCCAGAGGCGGTGTTATAGTTCACTCAAACTCTTAAGATCGCGAGAACTATGGAACTGACAATTGAAACCCAGGAGGCTCTTGGCTGAGATTAAGCGGTCTTGCCAGACTCTGGAAGATCTTGATTGCCAAACGACCGTCTTATCGTTTGCTTCTGAATGTATGAACTTTTGTTATTGGAGTTTCCGGAATGGAACGAACAAAAGTCAGATAGAAGGTTCCAACACAAAGCTTGGCGGAGTTCCTGTTACAAGGCAAAGTTGGTAGGTATGGTCCACTTTGTTGCATGTCGTTGGCTCTTGCAATCAGCTCGCTGATGTCATCTCACGAACTTGGTCAAACAGATTCTTTTCCTGTATGATGAATGTCATTTCCGCAACACTTTCGAGAAGATCATCTTGTTGAAACAAACGGGTACGGCGACTCGCCTTCCCTTGCAGTGTGCCATTGGCTTAACCTCCCGCAGACGAACCTTTCATGGCTCAGCGAACCGAGACCGTTGTTGTCTCAGCATGGTTTCAGATTGCAACGGAGTTGATCTCAATCAGCTTCTTACTAAAGTAGGTCTCCTGGACTAGATTTAGTTACTAGTTCTGCCGACTGGCTGCTGCGTGAGGCCGCGCTCGAGTTTTGTTTGTCGATCAGGTTCCGTCTTGCAGGCCGCATTGCCTACATGTCAGGTCGGCAGTTAGTAAGTTCACTTACCATGTCATATCGACGTGCGTGTGTTGCAACATCCATGCTTCAATGCCCAATCCGCAAAATAGACGCGAAAGTGGCCATCAGAAGTCAATGCTAAAGGAAATGCCTTGTGTCAGGTATACACATCCAAGATGGTGTACAAGGCACACATCCGTAGATGGCATGAAGGCTTCACCGCTTGAAATGCTACTTACATCCGGTGTTTGTACTGCCTCTAGACGTTTCTGAGTTGCGTGTCAAGACTTGCCCGATCCTCACACTGCGTCGACCACTCCAAAGGAGTGGGTTTCTCGAGGTTTCGCAAATACTGGGACCATCAGCAGGCCGATCCGCTAAGTGTGCTTGGCTTTTAGTTCGCAGTGCACCAAATCAGGCTTCCAGCAGATTGCAAATGGAACCGCAGTTGTGCTGACGAGCCCAGGGCCCAGAATGCTTTTGACTCTTCGACTGCAGGCCGCAGAACGTCTCCCGCGTCAAAGTCTCGAGGACTCGCACGGTGATTGGGGAGCATACTTCTGGTTGTGACGTCACAAGGGCGCACCGCGTAGGGGGCTGATCTCGGCCCTAAGCCCCTAAGCCCTAAGGATCCCAAAAGGTGGGTGCTCTGCGAAGCATCCCGAAAGCATTCCGGCTGCTCTGTAGTCCATTGGACAATGTTACAGTCTGTTCGACTTCCGTTGCTGTTCAGCATCTCAGTCCTTGCTCCACACATCTCCTTTTTTCGAGTATTGTAGTACTGTGTTCCTACAGTCCTACAGCCTTTGTGTGATTATCGTCAATCACTGTTGATCTTCTTATTGGTGTGCTGCACATCTTGTCAGCATCATCTTCCTGTGATGTTTTCCTACGTGCATCGTGGGTGCGAAACGATGACGACGACGATGGATGCTGATGAGCATGGTCATGATGGTGGTGGTAATGACCGTGGTGACCGTAATGATGGCGACCGCGATGCTGATGATGATGATGATGATGATGGTGAAGATGGCTGGCTGACTGGATGGATGGGTATAGATTTCTGAATGGATGGATGATGGATGGGTAAATCAATGACTGAGTCAATGAACGAATGGATGAATGAAAATGGGTGAAGCTGCACGATGAACGAGTTAATGAATGAAAGGGCAAGAAGCAGGTGCAAGTGAACTGGCATGAAGCGAAAGGAAGTGAAGTGAACCGTGGACCTCAGGAGGTGGGTCTCCAAACTTGCTGGCGACGCTGACTACCCCCATCAAAGTGAAGGTGTCGCACCGAGGTTGTTGTGCGGAGCTAGTGGCTTAGCAAGCAGTGTATTACACAGATTTGTACATGCCACACTAGTGTCAGACCACACTAGTAAGCGATTCAGTAGTGCAAGATCTTCACTACATGTTCCTGCGTCTAGCCTTGGGCTCCGCTTGATCAGATAGACCTGTGTGCCAGCTGGTCAAGGCAGCATATGTGATAGGAAGAACTTGGGACACCGAGGCATCGGCAGAGAACCGCCTTTCTGTCCTTTCTGTCCAGGCGCACTCTTGCCTGTGCTTTTTTCGACAAGAAACGGACCGGTTGCGAGGAGAAGCATTCTAAACTCCTCCCTCGTTCTGGTATGGCAGATAGGTGTCAGCCGCGACAAAAACTGCGGACAAAGCTAGACACAGATCCGTAAGCACTGCGCTGGCAGTTTCAGTATGGGTAGAACTTAGCCTCGGCCGCATGTGCGCTGTGGCTGTCAAGACGTCCTTTTGCGTGACATTCGGCAACTTGTCAGGATGCAGCGGAGACCAGGGTCCGCCGGTCGGGTGAGGAGAAGGCAGAAGTTCAGCCTGCTTGCCTCCCAAATCCAATTTTGCTCACCACCTCCGTGCAGATGGCCTCTGCCTGGGGCCTCGAGTTCGAGGCAGAAGCCTTGGCGGCTCAGGGCGAGACGAGATTCCTGCAGGTGCCTTGTCTTCATGTCATCAAATTCCCTCCCCGCTGTCCACTTCGTGTCTCTGTGTCCGTCAGGCTGTGTAGATGTTGAGGGCCTTTCGCATCGGGGGCTTCCCCGACCAGGCAGAAATCCATCGGCTTCTCGCCGAGCGTGCATCGGTGTCTCGTCTCAATACCATTAATGCATTGCATGGAAGGTGCAGCTGTGTCTTCAAGAGTTTTCTGCGAGCGTAGCTGCCTGGTTCAATGATCCTGCGAGGAGCAAGTTGCCACGGGCCAGGATCTCAGCGATAGAACATCGGTGCAGCTGTTGGGACCGATTTTTCTGAGGCCGCAGCATGGCCGAACTAGAGGCCACCATTGCGTGGTTGCAGGCCGGCGACTTCGTCAAGAAAGACCTGTCCAGCCACTGCCCATCCAATCGCACGGCTTTGAACTCAACTTCTTTCTGTTCTGGTCCAAGCACTTCCGCTCAACGGAGTGGCGTCGTATTGTCGAAGCCAAACTGAAATGGGATGAGATTGTAAACTCGCTTATATCCGTCTATGTGCATGGATGGATGGATGTATGGATCTTCTACCTAAGCAAACACCCACAAGTCAGCACACAAGCAGCCGACATACCAAGATACGTAAAGACATAGACATAGATACATTTACAAGTCTGAGACCTTGCTTTGGGGTTGTTTGCATGAATGGCCTCAGCTTTTGTGGTCGTGCAGGGATTCGCCAGGTCACAGCTCACCAGCTTTGGAGCTTCCGACAAGTCCCCATTTTCTGTTGCGACTGTTCCGGTCATGGCTCGTCCCGGGCGGCTGCGTGCGAGATGTCGGAGAGGCTTCGCAGGCGCAACAACCAAACGTGGGTGACACAGGATTTTTCAGGAGACTTCGGAGGCGTAGCTTTTGTGTGGGAGGCTTGCTGTTGGTGCCGGCTGCCGTGCCGGTCTCAGATAGGGCAGTGCACACAATGCTTCCGTTCCACGACTCAATCGAGCTCATCGGAGGTGCTTGGGCATGCCTGTGCTTTTGCTTCAGCGCGCTTCTGGAGTGGAAGGATTCAGCTTCTGCCACATGTGGTTGTTCCTTCTGTACATTGGCAGCATCAAGCTTCTTCGTGCCACTTCGATTAAGTTGCCTGTTTGCGATCATACGATCCGGCTCATGGCCATGGATATTCCGGCGATGACGGTTGCTTTGTTTTGTGGTAGGGCTTCTGCGGAGTGCTCCGTCACTCCCTCAGTCCTCACCTCCTTCCGTGTCTCCTCTCCTTCGCTACACTCCAATCTGCACGGACCATGCTGACGGCATGCTGGCGGAAATGCAATCAGTTCCTTGCGCGAACATCTCTTTCGGACATGCAGGTGCGGAACAGGTGTGGTTACCTCCAACGTGTCCGTGTTCACATCGTTGTCTGTCTTTCATGAAATCACCAGTATCTTTGGGCGGGTGTTCGACGATGTCGGCATGTGGATGCATTTCATCTCACACCTTGTATCTTCCAATATTCTTGCAAGCATTGTTTTTGCGAAATGCGATGAGTTTTGACGAACTCGTGCTAGAGCCTCGTTGGCCAACACCCATGGTGGGGACATGCTATCGCAGGGCAGAAGCCATCGAGAACCTTCCCCTGCTGCGTACACCGGGAGTACTTTGGCGTTGTGCTCGGAGTATTCGTCATGCGCGTCATGCGTGTCTCATGCCTGAAAGTCGCTCACACGCATGCGTGCCTCGCCGTTTGCCGTCCTGGAAGATTTTCCGTCTATTTAGGGTTGGGACGTCCTTTTGTCATCCCCTGACACAGAGAAGCAATTGCCTTTGTCTGGTGAGGACGACGTTGAGGAAGCGCGCGGCTGCGAAGGTCGGCTTTCGGACTATCAGCTGGTCTTGGCTGGTGAAGTGCACGGGGAGAGTGCCTAACAGGCCTTCGCTTCCTTCGATAGCCCAATCCGCCGACTTGCGACCGGGCTGCCACAAGAGGGGAAGTTCTGAGGCGTCGTACTGTCTCTTGAGTAAAGCTGCTTTGATCTCTGTTGTGATGTCTTGAAGCAGGGTAAATCTCAGGAGTTCAACGACTCCATTCTGGTGGGGGCTGGCTATGACCTGGTAGATGTCAGGCCGGATGCCGGTCAGCCAACATCAACAGCTTCGTTAAGCCTTCACCGAGGAAGGTAACAGCGAGCCCATGCGAACAGGGTCGCGGCAGAAGCAAAGGCACAGGGTAGGGACGCAAGCTGGTGCGCAGGGTACTGACGACGGAGAAGGAGCCGGTAGAGGCGCACAGAAAGGGGATCACGAACAGCCAGTGGCCGCCAGATTCAAGTGACCAGAGGCCACGTTCATGCTGGACAGCGGCCTCACCACGAACCTCGTGTCCAGCACACAGACATCACGTCCTTGTCTTGGGGCACTCACGCGGCCTCGTCCTCCTCCTTTTTAAGGTCTCCGGCTTTCTTGGAGCGTTTGGGGTTGGAGACACGGGCGGAAGCCCTCTCCGCAACTGCGCGCCTTGGATCACAGAAGCACGATGCACTTCATGGACAGTGGGCAAACTGGGCAGACGTAGACCTGATCCGAGGCTCGGAGGCTCCATGCAGAAGCTGAGGCTCGCCAAGAACCGCAGCCCTGCAGGCATCTTCGCATCTTTCGCGGCCAGGTCGACAGATCTGCCGGGGCTGGAACTGCTCGGTTCCCCCGCAGGCGAGACCTACGCAGGCCAGGCTCACGCAGCCCCGCCCTGCATTGCTCTGCCAGCCTCGGCAAGCCTGTGGTCGCAAGCTTCGTGGACAGGCTTGTGGCAAGGCGGCGGCTGGCGCGCCTGGTGCACTCTGGACTGGGATGCCTGGAAGGCACACTTCTCATTGTCTTCCACACCGACACTTAGGCTTCAGCCTGAAGTCGAACTGAAATACCACTGCATATCATCCGGCCCACAGGATCCTGAGCGGAGTATGTTAACTCGTTTTGTAGGGTATTCGACGGGTTCCTGGTTGCGAGCCGAAAGTGGCGACATTGGCTTCGAGCCCCGGCGCACAGGTACCACAAAGCATGGGCTTTCGTTCGCACGAAGAGCTTTGTTAGCTGCATGCGCCGCGAGGCCGCAGCAGCACATTCCAAGGATGTCAAGGGGGAGGCGAAGAGACGTAAGCCTGCACTCCACCCCGTCTCAGCGCCCTACAGCGTGGCAGGTGATGTACGAAGTACTGCCCTCGGAGAAGATGACGGAGTCCCAACTACAGATGGTTGGCTGGCGAGGTCCCGGCCCTGGAAGCCGAAGTGTTTCCACAGGCTTCTAAACGGGATTGTGAGAGCTTACCCAACTGGCTGCATGCATGAAGAACGATGGATGCACGGATGGACAGATGGACGGATGGATGGAACAAACAAGTGAACCTTAGATAGGGGGAAAAGTCAAGTGAGCTGCTTACATAACATGAGGCGAAGTGAGGCGAGATAAGTGAATGGCATAGTGAAGATGAAGGATCAGGCGACTTGAGTTTACATGCACTATAGTGTGAGCTGCGACCAGGCTGTAGCATCACGAAACATCAGCTTCATGGGAGCACATCAGTGGTGGAGTCTTGCTGAAGGCACAGAAACCGTCCAGGGCACGCTGGATGCCGTAGTCCCAGAGTGCCAGATGAGTTGCGTCTTGTACGAGGCAGTGCTCTGACGGTGTCTGACTCAAAGAGCCTTTTTTCTCGGGTGGTCCGCTGTAGCCAGGCAGTTGCTCCATGCTGATTCATGTTGATTCATTGGGCGAACTGACAATGCAACGGAGGCCGACAGCTTCAGTGGACGTGGCATCTCCGTTGAACCCAAAGGCTCGCAGAGTGGCAGCTCGAAGCACACAGACACTGCTCTTTCATTCTTTCGTGAAGAGGTGTGCTGTCGACTACTGCAAGATACGACTTCCAAGAGCAGGGCGACGAGATCGTCGATTCCGTGAGCGGAATGAGGCTGTGCTTAGAGCAAGGGAAGGGACCCGTTCGCATCGTGTCCGCATTGGCCAGGTTGAGACGCCAAACTGCGCGGCCCTCTCTGCCGCTGCGGCTTGGGCTGAAGGGCATCTGCGAGTTTTTCGACCTCCAGCTTTTGTGCGGCTTTGGTTCGAGGCCCGGGCCACTTCATGCGACGTGCGTGGAGTTTGCCCAGGAGACGCTTCGCAACATACATTGCCGTGAGTGCTGATGCGATCTTGGCTTGAATGCTTTCGGTAGTTATCCACATGTGTTGACGTCGTGTCTAAATGGTGTCTTAGAAGAAACCCCTGGGAGATATCAACGGCACAGGGCAAGTCATGCTTGGCAAGCCGGAAGGCCAGGAAAGAAGCGAGGAGTCCCCAGTGCGGCCATCGAATGTCCACAGAAGCTTAATCATTAATTAATCATTAATCCGGTCTTCGACTCTGTTCACGGAGCATAAACTACCTTCTACGTCAATCCAGGAAAAGAGGGGATCGGGGATCATGCTTGTACTTTGCTTTCCAACCGGTGAAGATGCCTGGTCCCGCGAGCGACGCAGCACATCATGCTGATGCCTCAACGAAGAATCGAAGAGCAAAGAAGAAGAGTACGTGGTCTGAGCGGAGTAATCATCGCACTGGCGCAGGCCGAGATCGCGCGCCAGCAGGCGCTTTGATCAACGAGTGGACTGCTGGTTTTTTCTGATTGGAAGCCGAGTCAGGTTCATTGAGCTTCCACGCGTGAGGGGTGAGGGTTTAGAAGCTTAGAGATGTCCTTGAGTGCTCTTATCGGATGTGTGGGGTTGTGGGAGGAAGCGGAAGAGAGAGTCCCCGAACAGCGAGACGCCTGCCCACCGTCAGGGCATCGAGCTTCATGGAATGCTGGGTCAGCTTCCGCTGCATCAGGCCAGGGATTTCAGAGGCTACGGTGACGTGGGTTTGCAGCCGGCTTTGGTGTGGTTTTGCCATTTGGAGTCCTTTGCCAAGGCGGGGAGCGGGAAGCCTCCGCGCCTTACAGGGGACGATCAGTGGGATAGAGCCCGAACCCCTGTGCCGAAGGATTTTTTGCTCGACGTGGACCCCGAGGTCCGGAGCTTGAAGACGACCTCTCGTGTCGAGTCCGTCGCATCCGTGGCAGATTCCTAGGTCCTCGATTTCTAGCAGAGATGCATCGGTCCACAGGCGCGGCGCGTGTCCATCCGGGTTCCTTCGGACTCCGGCGAGGTCGCAACCCAGGCAAGGGTCAGAGTCCTTCGGACTTCCCGGTGAGTGTGTGAGCCGGTTCTGCCATCCGCGAGTCTCTGCGAGGCTGGTCTACGTCGAATTCCTGGCCTTGAACTGCCGTCGCGGCTGCTTGGGGTGCGCACGTTTTTGTTTTAGTGTGAGGGGCGCGGGGTGTGACTGAGGGGGATGGGACAAGTTTAAGAATCCACCGATGTGGTGCACCAGAGGTGAAAGTTTCCTGGCTTTCGGGCTCTATGCTTTAGGACTTTTTGGTTTAGGGTTAAGGGTTTACAGTTTAGGGTTTAGACTTTACCGTTCAGGATCTGGGGATGAAGGGCTTTCAGGCTCTAGGCATTTAAGGACTTCGCGTGTAGGATGAAGCGGTTGGAGGGCTTAGACGGAGTTTGGACTTTGGGTGTGGGAAAATGTAGGAAGATGCAGGTGGAAGTGCTCCACGCACCGCAGACCAGAGGCCGGTTCGGAGTTCGCAGAGGGCGTAGGCAGACAAGGGTGAGCTGAGCTCTTCATGGGATGTGTATGCAGAGAAAGCCGCTGAGCCTCAGCCCTGCAACCACTGCTCTTGCGAAGATATCCGGCTCCGACCTCCAGAGGTTTCAGCGCTGCTGCATCGCAGCATGCGGTTGCTGCTCTACTAGACTCTGGTTCCGCGAATTCCGCTGCGAGGCCGCACAGACGATAGTTCAAGGCTACGGTCTCTATGGACAATGGAGCAGTGTCTGTATTCTTGGGGGTTCCTTGGTGCTAGCTCTCCGCATGCGAGCGCAACATCCACGCAGCCCTGCAAACCCCCCTGTGGCCTGCACCTTCCAATCCTGGAGCCAAGGTTCTCAACTGGCCGGCAGCAGAGCTTTTGTTGGGCCTCCGCCCTGGAGACAGAGTGGTGCGCTGCCTGGCCTGAAAGTGAGTCTTCTGAGATATTGCTGGAATGTTTACTTGGCGGCAGGGTGATGTGGAAAGAACCTACGTACTTCTGCACTCACGAAGTTGTTGGTTCGCAGATGCCCTGCGAACTTGCTGTCGGCTCTCTCGCATCAGGTGATGCTCCGCGCATTCGGGCGATCGGAGTCCCCTGCCAGGAAAAGCTTGAAGGGTTTTGAGCTTGCCTTGGGATGTGTTGTGATTGCAACGAATCTGAGCCGATAGTCTGCAAGTGTCAAAGGTCAGGGTTTAGGGTTGGGCTGCAGACGCCGCGGGGGACGGGGATTTGTTGAGGCGACGACCTCAAGTTAATTGACATTGTGTCACACATTCTAGCAGAATAGTCTTGAGATAGCAAGGTGCGTGTGCGAATCGGATCGGTACTCTGCATCCCCGTGTATCTGCGGGCTATCTCCGCTCGGTCTTTCAGATGGAGCGCGCTCTTCCATCAGCTTGGCGGGACATGTTCGATCATTCAGTGAATGCTGTCGGGTGCGACGACTGCTTTTGCATGGGCATGGGCGACAGCTTCCGGGCGGCTTTCTCCTCCGCTGTTGTTTGCACCAGTGATGGTCAATAACTTCATGCACACATACACGTGATCGCAGGTTCCGATTCAGATAGGAAGCTGCTGGTGTAGATGGACCGTCCAACACTTTTTCCACTTTGCTTCCAGGCCTTCTTGATCTGGCGTGCGGAGTTCAAGGGTGGAGCATACTTCCAAAAGTGAGATTGCATCAGCTCATGAGCTCCACAGTCTGTTCTGAAAAAGGCCAATTATACTTGTGTCTTGCAACTGCATGTCTTGGCTCGTGGCAAGGTTGGGGGTGGGGCAATTGACATGCCTCTACTCCGCCTCTCCTTGGGCCTGGTAACTGCAGAAGGCCGGCAAAGACAACTTGGATGCCTTTGTCCTCTTCCAGTGAGATTGAAAGCTGAACAGCGGTTGTGGGTGGTCTGCAGCTTGTGGTGCTGTTGGCAGAGGCGACTATGTGGCTCCTCAAGCAGTTCGCGTCGCATTGGGCGATGCGGAGGCAAGCTTGGTGGCGGAAAGCTGACAACATCAGTTCTCAACCTCATCGACATGTCTACAGTGTTAAGCGCCAGTATATTCATGCCCAGCTACTTCCACAAGCGTTGTGGTGGGTTTCGTGACCTGGGGCAAGTGAGAGCTTTCATGCCCAGTCCGCAGTATTGGCACTTACTAGACCCTGCACAGGTCTTTGCCGACATCTTCGGCCGAGAAGAATCAGGCAGATGATGCATTCGGTGCGGTCGGAGGTCACACGCAGAATGAATTAGATGGTGTGGGCATGGTCGAGTCCGCCAGGTTCTTGGCCCTTGGGTCTCGGCCCGAAGCCTCTGAAGCCTGCTGCTCTGATTGGCCAGGCACGGCTCTGAGGCAGTCGCCAGAGAGTCGCCAGTGTTCCCCGGCCCAGGACATCCTCTCCCAGCAGCGGCATCTCCTTGTGGCATCAGAGCCGGCACTTTACGTGGCAGAGCAGCCTGCGAGTGAAGGCGGGGCATGTGGCACCGAAATGAAGTAGGAAAGGCTTGGTGGTGAAGGCTTCGAGCTCTCATTGATTGGGGACGCCACCAGTTGTTCGGCAGATTTCCCTGTTGTTTAGGAGAGCTCCATCACGTCGGAGAAGGCCTGGAAGCCTGCGGAGTGATGGGAAGCGTTCGTGTTGCTCCTCTGTCACAGCGTGTTTTAGCAGGCGACTGCATTGACGATGAAGGTCGGCGGCTTGCGGGCCTTCAGAAACTAGGACCGCATGGGCCATCAGGTGCAGAGTCCTTGGACTGTTGTATGAAGTTGACATGTCATGTGTGAGCCAGGTGTTGGCAGCTGATAGCTGATGATGATGACGATGATGATGATGGTGATGATGATGATGCTGTCACTGCGTTGTTTGACAAAGGATTTGAGCATTCACCCAGAAGAGGCAGCAGGGCACAGACAGCCAGAATCACATGCAGCCCACGCGATGAAACACTGAGCTCTCAAAGGATCCAGCCCAGCCTGAATAGCAGCAATTACACAAGCCGTGTGGAGACACCACAACCGTGGCAAGCCTGTGTCGGAGGATGCACAATGGATGATGCTGCATGGGAGTGCCTGTCACTGCCCCCAGGCCGATGCAAAGATGCGCAGCCTCGCCATTCCGCAAGCTTTGCCAAACACTCTGCATGCACGCAGGTACATGCGCGGGCATTGCAGTGACACCCAACGGGCGCTTCCAGGCGCTCTGACACAGCGTGAGACCAGCCTCGCCTGTACCGAAGATGTGATCAGCCACAAGAGTGGCGTAGATCGAGACGATGGCTTGCACGTACAAACTCTTTAACATCCGGCAGATGTGCTATAGCTGCGGCTGAGATGCAGAGAGGCCGAAGCATCCTTTGATGACAGGGTTTGTGCTACATCTTCGTTGGCGCAGAACTTGGCAGGGACGAGGCTCGCAGGATGTCAAGCTTTGACAAGCATTAACATCTAAGGATGTTGAGGCATGCCAAGCGGCATGCACCACGGGAAAAGCTATGTAAAGGTCTCATGAGACAGGTGCTTCATCACACAGGTGCTTGGATGCAGTGCACAACCGGCGTGTCGGCTAGCAAGTGCGGTGCTGAACCATGCTCTCACGACTGTGCTGCTAGAATGCGTGCCCGACAGATCCGACAACGGCTTATGTTGCGTCCCTGATAAGAATGCCTTCCGCATGGTCCGCAAATCCCACGATTGCCTTCGGCACGAGTTGCTTTCCTCGACGTCTCGCTCTCGACCTCGATATGCTTACTCTGTTGCTATGCGCTTACCGTGGCGGATTCAGGAAAGCAAGCCCAGCATAGGACAAGCGAGGTAAACCAGTTCCGTGCCGAGGGTGTTAGGGGTGTCAGCTGGTGCCCCGGCTGGTGGCCTGGTTCTACGGTTGTATTGCTACAGCTGCTTTGCGGTTCGCTGTCACCTTCTGCATCTCTTTCGGGTTTCTGTGACTCGATGTTCGCAGCTCACCCTCCGCTCCACCCATTCGCTTTAGTGTGGGGAGTGGGGTGCTGCCACTCGGTCGTTGATATTGTAAGTCATGAGTCATGAGACTTATCCAAACATTTCACTGTCTTGGTCTCAGGCAACAGGCAGTCAAGGCACAATGGAGAACACCAGCGACACACCTTCACCCTCCCGCTCCCCCCCTACCACCCTCGAGGACAGAAGCAGCCCCAGCGCAATGTAAGGCGTCCGTTGCAGTCGTAGCCTCTTCATGCCGCAGCAGAAGTTCGTGTTTGAGACACGAAGAGTGCTCTCGGGCGACCTCTTGTCTGACAGACGATATGCCAGGCATGCATATTTGTGATCGTCGAAGCCTTTGAGCTGAGGTGACGTTTGGGCTTTCGGTCCCCCTCCAGAATTGCCAATATCATACAACTATTCATCCGTCCAGAAAAAGACTCATAAATTAGCACCCCTGGCTCAATCATCCGTCCCGTGAAGGAATTACGCTCCCGTGGCTTTTCGCGCTACGAAGCCCCGGCGGGGCAGACACTTGCATCGTCAGGACCGCTTGGGATGCATGCCGGAACTTGCAGCTACGCTCACCTTCGGATGCAGCCTAGCATCACATGGAGCGTAGAATATTGTCTCTGATGAATTCATCTGCAGGTTCAACGGTTGCAACCGCAGATGGGACTCCAGATGCACAGTGCTTCCGCTGGCAGCCGAAGTGAAGATGAGATGTCTGATGATGTTTCCGTGATGATGTGTGGCAACCTTAGCAGGTGTACACTCGAGTGTGAGCAGGCAAAGATGTTCAGTCCGAGCATCTGCACAAAGTGGTTTCACACAGCAAGCTCCTCGAAGGTGTGCACTAGTAGGGCCAGCCGGGTTCCGTCACGTCGATGGTCAACCAGGAGGCTGCAGGGACGGTGCCTTGGTTTCCAACGTCTCAGCAACCGCGGATCATTGGTTGGATAAATCGCGAGCGCAGAGGCGTGTGTGGGTGCATGCCGCATGCCCGTCGTGCCCGTTGTGAGTCTCTGCCATGCCATGCATACACGCCAGCTTGTGTGTTGAAGGCCAGTCGGGAACATGACCGAAACGTCATGCGCGATGCACGTGAGAACGTGGAGGTGCAGCCGTCCCGAGTTGTAGACGAGATGTGCCTTTCCATCGTTTTTGGTGCGAGAGGCCGCCACCAATCGGCTCTCAGAGGGATATGCCTGGGCCCTCAGCTGTTGACAAGCTCGGTTCGTCAATACTCCGCAGAATCTTATAGCATCGTGTTTGCATTCTTCTGTCGTTGAGTTCCGCCAATGTGCCATGTGACTTCTTCCTGATTTCAAGCCTTTGCACGAGGAAGTTCGACTGGCCCAGCTGGATGCGGATCGTGCTGCGCTGGCCGAGCAGGTGCGCGACGGGCTTTTCGCACAAGTTGACAAACAAGCAATCGCCTCCAGAACAGCTTTCTGACTGGCTGTTAGCTGGATGGAGGTCTGTCAGCTGGAGATGGAAATTCAGAACCTCCATGGCAACCATCTGCAGGATGAAGCACTCGTGGCGAGTGCTTGGACTGGTGGTTTCTGGAGGGCTGAGCTCGAACAAATACCATTTTCATGCAGCCGTCGGTTGGCTTTGAAGTTCAAGCTCAAGATATGAAGCAAACTCGACGTTTCCAAACTCTTCAGGACATCCAAGCCCACCGAAGCTGGCATTCGTCTGCTTTGGATACTCTCTTCGAGACGCGAGGCCAGGCAGACTGCGTGGTTTCAGAATGTCGGAACATCTTGACCTCCCAGTCCCATCTGCTCAGGCAGTGAATTGGCTTGCCTTGCCATGCGCGCGTGGAGGGAGCTTCTGCGCGGCAAGGCACATTTACGCCCTCTCGCGCCCTCCATGTGCGTCAGAGAACCCTGCGTGCGCCACCTGTTGCACGGCTTCGCAGCTTGAGGATGCAGGCGGCCGCCGCCGTCACCTTGCCGGACGAGTCACTGCTCGGCACGTGCAGGAACGGCTTGCAAGCAAGTCCAAATACCAGAGATGCGTTTCGAACAACCCCCTTTCCTGCCGACCGCAGGAAATAATGCTTCAAGCCAAGCGCGACCGGGTTGCATTCGGCGCCCGAGCTAGGTCTCGAGGCTGAGAGCAGTGAGCTGCAGTGCCAGGGGCGCTCTGGGCGGCTTGGAGCAGCGCCGCGGTCCGTCGCGCCCAGCACCGCCGCAGCGCAGGTGCTGTGACCAAGGCTTCGGCAACGAGGGAGAGAGAGAGAGAGAGAGAGAGAGAGCGCGGGAGGGGGTGACTTGCCCTTT